AAATGACCAATGACAAGATCAGTAAATTTACGAGTTCCATTTTTATTAAAAAAAAAAAAAAAGCAGCTCTCAGTGATATAAAAAAGCCTGGACTTTAATGTATCGTGGGGAATGGTTGTGTACCGGTATAATGTTGAGAGTTCTTCGGAATTTTTGAGTATCCACACCTGGTTCACACCACTTCTTGAATAAATTGTTTCATAGTACTCATTTAGTTTCTCCTTCACTTAGGTCAATATCCTAGTGAGGAGTAAAGAAAGAGGCTTTGTTGAACATTTACTGGAACCTGCAATGTATCTTTGTTTGTAACGATTCTGATGAAGTTTCGGAATCCAATAAATATGTGGTAGTTCAAATTCATTTTGGTTCTTTTGGATATTAAAAATATTCAAAACTGACATATGATTTTGAAGAATTTCTTCCTTAGAAAGGGAAGTATGAGTATAAGTAGGATTACCACTTGTAGAATTAAATCCAAGTTGTTCTAAAGTACAATTTATATAATGAGCCTTACAAACAATGACAATGCTGTTACCTGTTTTAAAAGCAAGTTTGAGTTCTCCCGATCTGAAACAATATCCTGTAATTTATAATAATATCAAAATAGTAGTGTTGGCAACGAGTACCCGGTTAACCATGCGAGTATCGGTTAGTAAAATTGCTATTCGGTTACTCGGATAAAATGCATATTATATGGTAAATAACTAAAAAATAAAATGTTAGTTTGTTTATAAGCGTACAAATAGACATTTCTCTAATTTTCTTTACCGTTAGACTTTATGATCTATGGTTTCACTAATACGATTGATTGGTTTTCACACTTAACTGATAGCTTAATTGGATTGCCAGCAGGTTATACAAGTTTTGAAGACCAAAATTATAATTATCTCATTAAATTTATATAATTTAACGAGATGCCGCCAAAGACGTGTACATTTATAGCTTGGGGGTATTTTAAAAGAACAGCTGATTCCATACCTGTAAAATGTAATTAATGTGAATTGGAGTTACCGTGACTTCAAATTTCTAAATAATTATTCTCATTGATCCTGACATAAATCGGGGGTTGAAAAGTAAAGCTGATGAACGCTATTGTTAAATAGCGTGAAACATTGAATATTTGTTTTTCTACTGATTAAATTAATTTTTTGATTATAATTATATTTAAAATTCAAGATATTGCGTGTGTGTTCTTTTTAAGTTTATAAAAAAAAAGTTAATTCACAAAACTTTTGCGTTTTATTAGAACTGATGAGTAAAAGATGAGATAAATGATACAAATGAATAAATCATCCGAGTAACCGGGTACTCGATCGGAAGATTGAGCGAGTAACTGGTTACTAAAAATTGTCCGATTTGCCAACACTACAAAATAGCAATTTATATATTCTGAAAATAATTGGAAGTGCACCAAACTTTACCCATACTGCTGAATTAGCTTTATTAAGGACAGACGAGACGTTCCTTAATAATAGATAATTTTTTCTAAGAGTTTGCCATTGAATTATTGCTACTTATACATGTTTTCTCACAAAAAATTGAGGTACCTTACCAGGCATTTCTGCAAGATACCAGGTGTAATTTTTCTTATATATTCCTTAGGGGAAGAAAAATAATTCTCCAATTTTAAATGTTTAAGTCTTTGGATTTTTTTAAAAACGTTTAGAAACTGGTTTAGAAATCAAAATGTTATTAAAACGTTGAATATTTTTCATACATTACGAAGATATACGAAACAGATTTTGAGGAACGTCTCGTCTGACCTTAAGGAACCCTTAAATTTCCTTTAAGATTAAATTTTGAATTTTTTTCATTCAAATTGAGTCTTGTTAAAGTCTTTTATCTGTTAAAAAAACAAAACAAAAACAAAACACTTATCCAAACAGAAGTACATAGTTATGATAAACAAGAATGCCTCTTCAGAAAGTGTTAAAATCCTTGCCTCAGGGTCGGGGGTTCTGGTGTTAGGGTGGGATTATTATAGATCATTCAGTAAAAGTACATTATTTCTTTCAAAATCCTCTTCTTTACTCCTGGTTAAAAAACAAACTAAGTACATATTTATGATAAACAAGAAAGCCTCTTTAAAAATTATGAATTTCATGACCCCATGGTAAGAGGTTCTGATGTTAGCACGTGGTTCTTTTAATTATATAGTTAAAATGCATAATTCTTTGAAAAGAATTCGTCTCTGGTCCTACATGAGTGTCGGAAGCAAACTAAAAGGGGTGGGGGGTTAATTGAAAGTGGGGGGGAGTGGGACTAAACCAACAAAAAAGGTAAACATCAATTTTCAATGCCTATATTATGTATATACATGTACAATGTATTTGCTAAAAAATGATTAATTTCAGGGCTCTCGGATTAGGGGTACTATGGTGGGGGTACATATTCTGAAAATAAATGAATGCGTAGAAATTTGTCCTTTTATATTATTTATGATGACATTTATGATTAGCAAAGATGTGTTTTTGAACATTTTGAAATACTGGTATGTGGTCCCAGGGTCATTGGTTCCTGTGGGGTGGGGTGCACAACTGGTTATAAATTGGAAATGCATTTTCTCTTTCTTACTCAGATCTACCTCTGGATATTAAATAACCAAAGTAAGCATACAAAGTGTATAGTTATGATAAGCTATAGTGCCTCGTTCATAATTGTGAATTTCATGGCCTCTGGTTTAAAACACGAACCGAATTCAATTGTTGGAAAGTTGCATGATATTCAGGTGACATATATATAAGGCAGGCCCGTGGGCCTCTTGTTCAATAGATACATTTAGATTTCACATCTGGATCCATTCACGACGATTTCAAGGCAATTTGTCACATTTAAAAGTATTTTTGTAAATCAGTACAGATAACGGTATAATAATAGTTTCATGCCCCGGATCGAAAGATATTTTTGTCTTGTCTGTCTGTATGTCTCTCTGTCTGTCTGTCGTCAATTTCTACCTAGCCAATAACTAATGAGTTGGTGGGGCTATGGCTTTCATATTTCACAGGTGTATATTTTGTGACTTTTCCATGCGTACCACCAAATTTGACCTTTTGACCTTGGAAGTTGACCTACTTTTCAAACGAATACCACACTAAATTTAACCTTGGCCAAAACTTTTGAACAGTTGGAGCTACTGCTTTCATTGTTCACATGTGTATTTATTGTGACAAGACATTTCAGCTAGTATAAATAATTGACCTCGACTTAAGAATTTGACCCACTTATTAAAAAAAACTTTAACATTAGTCAAAACTTTTGAACAGTTAAAGTAATATACGCTATAACGTGCGCCATTTTAAAATACGGCTGGAAATTTATATATTTTGTTTACCAATAAAAGTTACGAAAATGCTGTAAATTACACCATTTAAATAAAATTTGTTATAAAGTTATCAAATTATAATTATTTATTATCCTGCAAGGAGAATAATGTCTATTTTTAAGTAAATCCACCACGTGACGCCGTCGCTACTTTTAGATTGATAAACAAACACGCGTCAAGAAAACGAGGTAAGCCCTTTGAGATACAACTCACTTTTGACATGGATGGCGTTTTACTATTAATATAAATTATCTTTAAATGTAATCAGTATCAACCATCTATACTCTGTTATGACGCATATTAACCTTTTATTAATAATCGTTGCAACGTGCTTCGTTGTCTATAATTTCCCGTGGACATACGTGTCTATATTTAGACCTACTGTTTACGCACTTCCTTTATCAATATTCATGAAAAGACTGAATTCTTGATTGCAGATATTGCATTATTGTTCTGTTATTACAACGAGTTTTATAGTTAAATTTTGTGGAAATATTATTTTTTCATTACACTTTATGTGTTTCAAATCATTTAATCATTTTGTTTCACATACAAATCGGCATCCATACGGCTTATATTACTTTAAAAATAGGGGGTTCATATTTCAAAGGTGGATTCCTTGTAACAAGACCTTTCTTTTAATTGGTACCAACACTTTTGACCTTGATTTTTGGAGTTTGACATGCATTTAAGAGAATTCAACCCTCGTCATAAGCTGTCATACGGCGGCATCCGTGTTTCACTGTTTTACTGTTCGTTATCTCCATATTCTTCACACATCTTTTTATTGTATTGTATTGGTGTTGACACACAGTGCTTTAGTTAGTAGTAATTGATGTTTTATTGTATAATTCAAGCATTGTGTTCGACAAACAAGTATGTACGAAGAACAGCTGAATATTTGCTTTATCAATTAGAGATATGAATGTCATTGAAGAAAATAACATATAAAGCAAATGCGCATATGAAAAAAAGCTGGAACAAGATGTGTTTGTGAAACACTATGCGCCCGGTTTCAACAAAGTTCGAAAAAGCTATTTTTAGTATATAGGTCACAGTCAAGGTCACAAGGTCATTGACCTTGGTTTTGTTTGAAAGAACTTAATTAGTGGAGTATGCGTACTAAATATGAAGTCCCCATCTCCTATGGTTCAAAAGTTATGGCAAAAAGTGGAAAAATCTATTTTTAGCATATAGGTCACAGTCAAGATTACAAGGTCATTGACCTTGATGTCATTTGAAAGGACTTTATTAGTAGAGTATGCATACCAAATATGAAGTCCTTATCTCTTATGGTTCAAAAGTTTTGGCGAAGGTTAAAGTTGACAACAGACAGACAGACAAACAGACAGACAGATAAACAGACAAACAGACAGGACAAAAACAATATACGCCCAGGATCTATCGATCCGGGCGCATAAAAAAGGGCACTACATACCGTAACAGTTGTGAACTGAAGGAGAAGCAGCACTTTTGACAAAATATCAAGAGTTTCCATCCCTGTTATCGAACCCGTCATATTCTTTACTTTCTTTTTAAATTCTAAGTATCAACCTACCCGACTTGATAAGAGGGTGACGTATAATAGATATTACATACGTCTCTGTTCAAACACAGTGAAGAAGTGGAAAGGTTTTAAATCGATATTAGGAATATTTCTTTTCTAAACAATTTTGACATGGCGGTGCCAAACATTCCTCTTCCTTATGGTAAAAAGTATCACATCTTCATGTCTTTCTGTTCAGAGGATCAGGAAATTGCACTTTCGTTGATAGAGATTTTAGAGAATCATTACCAGCTAAAGTGTTTGAATCATATCAGAGATTTTGTTCCGGGTGTGCCATCAGTAGAAAATATTTTGAATGGGATTGAAAACAGCATGAAAATCGTATACCTGATATCAAAGAAATTTAAGGACAGCTATCTATGCAGTACAGAAATCCTTTATGGGATCAAGGCTTCCCATGATCAGTGTGAAAATAGCACGATTCCAGTATTACTGGAAAAAACAAAAATGCCAAGAGAATTGGAAACAATCAACTACGTGAACGCAACCATTACGGGTACAGATATTGCTTCCAAAATTTATGATGCCTGCCTTTTTGGAGGTTTGTGCAGCTTTTGAAAATAACATTTTATTTTGATTTAAAAATTTCCTACGTGCATGCATTAAAGTTCCAGCATACTAAAGTTTTCTAAATTTAGAACAGGTACAAAAATATGTTCGTAAACTATATGATTATGTGCATTCAATTTGTTTTGAATATCGTGTATCTTTTAGGGGGTTAAAATCTTATTTCTTTTCCTTACTATATAACTATCGAGGAAATACAATCCATTATTTATATAAATAAAACCTTAGATGTAAATATTCATGCAATGAAATTTCTTTTTATGTTTTAAAGTAGGTAAAATGAATGATGATGAATGCATATTTTCTTTTTAATTTCGTCGTAATGTTATCGATTTCCACAGACGATTGAGGTCACTAAATATTTTTAATAGCGATGAATATATCTGGGACAATTTATATCAAATGACATGACACAATAACGGTTTACTGTCCGAAACAAACTCAATATTTTTTTATGCACCCAGATCGACAGATCGGAGCGTAGTTTTTGTACTGTTTATCTTTTATCTGTTTGTCTGTCTGTCTGTCCGTTGTCAACTTTAACCCTATAGCTATAATTTTGAACCGTGAGAGATAAAGACTTCATATTTGGTATGCATATATACATATCCACTAATTAAGCGCTTTCAAAGACATCAAGGTCAATGACCTTGTGACCTTGACTGTAACCTACATGCTAAAATAGCTTTTCCGAACTTTCGCCATAATTTTTGAACCATAGGAGAAAGAGTCTTCATATTTGGTAAGCATACTACAATAATTAAGTTCTTTCAACTGGCACCAGGGTCAATGACCTTATGACCTTAACTGTGACCTATGTACTAAAAATAGATTTTTTGAATTTTAGTGCCGCTGGGCGCATAGTGTTTCACAAACGCATTTTGTTTCTACGTGTATATTCTCATCAATGCCATCTAGAAGGTCTGTCCGATACAACTAACAACCAGTGCGTTAAGAACCTGAGATCTGATTTTGTTTTTCGTCTTTTCAGCGTCAGACAGCAGTATCTTGCCGAATTTCATACCATTTCAAGGTAGTTTTATTTTTCACGTTTTAGGGAAAAGATAAATTTGCAATATTTACAAAATGAATATTACATTTAAAAATACATTTGATTAGAAACACTGTCATCCAAATCCAGACATTCATCACTCTTTGAATGCTATCTTCACTTTTTGCATTAAGCCATAAGATTTAATTATATTGTAAAAAGAGTATGATCAACGGGAATGAGAAGATCGATATCCTTTTGTCTTTTCAAGTTACTAGTATTTTTGTTATTTATCCTGATTTATTAAATCTGCTTTAAGACTTGTACAACGGACAACCTCTTCGTGTCATCGAATCCAGAAAGCATTGGGAATTAGGACTACCTTATATAACTTTTGTAGAGAATACGAAGGAACGCCACAATATCAGCAACCACTCAAAGTCACGAAAGGTATACATTTGTGTATTTCTCTTTTTAATATAATTTTTGTTTGATAAGTGTATATTATATATATATATATATATATATATATATATATATATATATATATATATAGAAAGCACAGAGAAATTCACTTTTACAAGGATACTCACTTCCGCCCCAGCCCGGGGTTGAACTCTCGACCTACGGAATCTGTCTCCTAGCAGTACAGGAACAGCGCGTTAGACCGCTCGGCTATCTAGGCAAGTTAAAAACTTGCTTTCGATGCTGATGGAATTCTCACAACGCTGCCCTACACTACACGGTCATTGAGAATGGAAGTGAGATACAGTTATTTGGACATTAGTTTTTAGAGGATTGTTACCAATACATGTTGTGATGAAATTAATTTTATTTATACAGCACAAATTACAACAACTCTTAAACTAATATAACTGCCCTAAGTGAAGGAATATTAATATAGAAAGCACAGAGAAATTCACTTTTACAAGGATACTCACTTCCGCCCCAGCCCGGGGTTGAACTCTCGACCTACGGAATCTGTCTCCTAGCAGTACAGGAACAGCGCGTTAGACCGCTCGGCTATCTAGGCAAGTTAAAAACTTGCTTTCGATGCTGATGGAATTCTCACAACGCTGCCCTACACTACACGGTCATTGAGAATGGAAGTGAGATACAGTTATTTGGACATTAGTTTTTAGAGGATTGTTACCAATACATGTTGTGATGAAATTAATTTTATTTATACAGCACAAATTACAACAACTCTTAAACTAATATAACTGCCCTAAGTGAAGGAATATTAATATAGAAAGCACAGAGAAATTCACTTTTACAAGGATACTCACTTCCGCCCCAGCCCGGGGTTGAACTCTCGACCTACGGAATCTGTCTCCTAGCAGTACAGGAACAGCGCGTTAGACCGCTCGGCTATCTAGGCAAGTTAAAAACTTGCTTTCGATGCTGATGGAATTCTTACAACGCTGCCCTACACTACACGGTCATTGAGAATGGAAGTGAGATACAGTTATTTGGACATTAGTTTTTAGAGGATTGTTACCAATACATGTTGTGATGAAATTAATTTTATTTATACAGCACAAATTACAACAACTCTTAAACTAATATAACTGCCCTAAGTGAAGGAATATTAATATAGAAAGCACAGAGAAATTCACTTTTACAAGGATACTCACTTCCGCCCCAGCCCGGGGTTGAACTCTCGACCTACGGAATCTGTCTCCTAGCAGTACAGGAACAGCGCGTTAGACCGCTCGGCTATCTAGGCAAGTTAAAAACTTGCTTTCGATGCCGATGGAATTCTCACAACGCTGCCCTACACTACACGGTCATTGAGAATAGAAGTGAGATACAGTTATTTGGACATTAGTTTTTAGAGGATTGTTACCAATACATGTTGTGATGAAATTAATTTTATTTATACAGCACAAATTACAACAACTCTTAAACTAATATAACTGCCCTAAGTGAAGGAATATTAATATAGAAAGCACAGAGAAATTCACTTTTACAAGGATACTCACTTCCGCCCCAGCCCGGGGTTGAACTCTCGACCTACGGAATCTGTCTCCTAGCAGTACAGGAACAGCGCGTTAGACCGCTCGGCTATCTAGGCAAGTTAAAAACTTGCTTTCGATGCTGATGGAATTCTCACAACGCTGCCCTACACTACACGGTCATTGAGAATGGAAGTGAGATACAGTTATTTGGACATTAGTTTTTAGAGGATTGTTACCAATACATGTTGTGATGAAATTAATTTTATTTATACAGCACAAATTACAACAACTCTTAAACTAATATAACTGCCCTAAGTGAAGGAATACTGTATAAGGGGAAAATAACTCGCGGTGTTAATATTCGCTATATTCACGGCTTTAATAAATCCGTGAATTCAAGAAACAGTGAATAAATTTTCAATAATCTCCAGGTTTTATTTGGAAATTTGAGATTAGACAACGATAGGGCTACATACATGTACGCGCTGTACATGGTCATTTCGGCCGGTAATTACGAGTTGTACTCGTGATTCAATTAATTTAATTATCACGCTTTGCTTAAATTCAAATCAGCAGATAATAACCCGTATTTGTTAAGCAAGCTGTTTTAATAGCCAACGCTACATGTTTTATCAATCAAATCTCGTGGGTCATGGGTTTTGATTATCCGTGCGTAACTAATGTTACCACGTGTATTTGTTACTGCATTATCATGCATGCATATGAGTTTTTATCGACATTTTGGTTTTAAAAAATCATTCAAATAACTATAGAACTTACTGAAGATGTGGAAGGATATTTCGTCGACCTTTTCCAACATTAACACATTTATTACCGTCCAGTGCTTTTTCGTTGCGTTGTATCGAATATCTTAGGGTGTACACACACTCATTGTAATAGCATATAGGAAAGACATTTGATGTTTAGAGTCAAGGACTTTTGATAACTGCACTTGCTTTAATTAATCGTCAATTTTTTTTAATATCAAATCTAATTATTTTATTTAAACCTACCCTGTTGTTCGTGAAACAAAGTCATAACACTCATTGTTAATATCGTTTACATGTAGCTATGGTATGGGTAAACGGATATAGACAAGGGAGGTAACTTTTATTATGTACCAATTCCGCGAATTCAAGAAACCGCGATCTTGTCAGATGAGAGAAAAACGTGAAAATTACAACCCGTGAAATTAATCCCCTATACAGTATTAATATAGAAAGCACAGAGAAATTCACTTTTACAAGGATACTCACTTCCGCCCAAGCCCGGGGTTGAACTCTCGACCTACGGAATCTGTCTCCTAGCAGTACAGGAACAGCGCGTTAGACCGCTCGGCTATCTAGGCAAGTTAAAAACTTGCTTTCGATGCTGATGGAATTCTCACAACGCTGCCCTACACTACACGGTCATTGAGAATGGAAGTGAGATACAGTTATTTGGACATTAGTTTTTAGAGGATTGTTACCAATACATGTTGTGATGAAATTAATTTTATTTATACAGCACAAATTACAACAACTCTTAAACTAATATAACTGCCCTAAGTGAAGGAATATTAATATAGAAAGCACAGAGAAATTCACTTTTACAAGGATACTCACTTCCGCCCCAGCCCGGGGTTGAACTCTCGACCTACGGAATCTGTCTCCTAGCAGTACAGGAACAGCGCGTTAGACCGCTCGGCTATCTAGGCAAGTTAAAAACTTGCTTTCGATGCTGATGGAATTCTCACAACGCTGCCCTACACTACACGGTCATTGAGAATGGAAGTGAGATACAGTTATTTGGACATTAGTTTTTAGAGGATTGTTACCAATACATGTTGTGATGAAATTAATTTTATTTATACAGCACAAATTACAACAACTCTTAAACTAATATAACTGCCCTAAGTGAAGGAATATTAATATAGAAAGCACAGAGAAATTCACTTTTACAAGGATACTCACTTCCGCCCCAGCCCGGGGTTGAACTCTCGACCTACGGAATCTGTCTCCTAGCAGTACAGGAACAGCGCGTTAGACCGCTCGGCTATCTAGGCAAGTTAAAAACTTGCTTTCGATGCTGATGGAATTCTCACAACGCTGCCCTACACTACACGGTCATTGAGAATGGAAGTGAGATACAGTTATTTGGACATTAGTTTTTAGAGGATTGTTACCAATACATGTTGTGATGAAATTAATTTTATTTATACAGCACAAATTACAACAACTCTTAAACTAATATAACTGCCCTAAGTGAAGGAATATTAATATAGAAAGCACAGAGAAATTCACTTTTACAAGGATACTCACTTCCGCCCCAGCCCGGGGTTGAACTCTCGACCTACGGAATCTGTCTCCTAGCAGTACAGGAACAGCGCGTTAGACCGCTCGGCTATCTAGGCAAGTTAAAAACTTGCTTTCGATGCTGATGGAATAAGGATATGGAAATAACGAACAGTATTCAATCTCAACGTCCATTAAACAAATATACAAAACAAGAGCAGAGCAAACACGGACCTCCGAAACATCAGAGGTGGGATCAGGTGCCATGGAGGAGTGAGCATCCCCTGCTGACCGGTCACACCCGCCGTGTGCTCATTGTCATAATCAGGAAATAACGGAAAAAATCCGTAGTCAATTCAGTGTATAAATAATGGACTAACAATTGGTATGAAAAACGTCAGTCAGCATTTCATTCAATGATAAATTGTATTTGCTGACAAGGTCATTGTATCGACCATAGAATTTACGAAATGATGACTTTAAACGAGACTGTTGATATTCTTGTTTCATCAACTTGCTTGTCAATAATTTACCTCGTTTAAGAAATTGTTCATACGTAGAGCATGCTCTTGCGTATCGAATCAACTGAGATATAAATACTCCGTATGCAGGTGATGAAGGTATATTGCTGCATAAGTAAGGGAAGTTGACGATAGAAAAGTTAAAGTCATCACGTTTATCATATAACTTGGTTGTTAGATTACCATTTGTGTCTTTTTCAAGTAAAATATCCAAGTATGAAGCAGATCTGTTGGACTCTGTGGTATCTTTTATCTCAAGCTCACCAGGATATATCGTGTCGACGTAGGAATGGAAATTATCATTATTAATTGACAATACGTCGTCGATATATCTAAATGTCGAGTTGAAGGCCACAGCAAGTGTTTTTTTCTTTTCACGCAAAAGATTTTGCATAAATTCTGCTTCATATGAATATAAAAATAAGTCTGCTAATAACGGAGCGCAATTTGTACCCATGGGAATTCCAATAGATTGTTGGAATACCTGGTCTCCAAAAACCACATAGATATTGTCAATCAGAAACTCAAGCATCTTCTTGATGTCAACTTCAGAGTACTTATGTGTACAATCAGAATCTGTTTTAACAAAATAATTTTTCAAATGACCAATAACCAGGTAAGTAAACTTACGAGTTCCATTTTTGTTGAAGAAGCAGCTGTCAATGATATCAAAAAGCCTGGATTTTAATTTGTCG